ACAATATTACAGTTTTACTGTATTTTTGATCAAATAAATGCAGCCGTTTTAATGACAGTGTAGTTAACACATAAAACACACTCTAAACATTGCACAATAATCGATTGTTTTAACCGCAATATAGAATAAAAAAGATCAATAATAATGAAGAGATATGAACTGATTGGTAAAACTGTATTTATTGTATTTGTATCACATAGACTGTTTGCAATATTGACGTGAATAGTACCAAAACCGGCGCTTCCTCCACATACTGAACCAATAAAATGCAATGGATTAAATTCATGGATAAATTCAGTGAGTGGCTTATGTACAACATTTGTTGATGTACTAAAAAAAAAGCATGCATAAAAGCCAGTAGGAAACCATTATATTAGAGATATGAATAATTCACTTCAAGTGCTATAAGTACATAGGTCTGTGTTGTGTTTAATCTTAAATATGGATTATAAAGACAAACTAAACCACGTAAGAAAATAAAATCCAGACTTTCTACACTCAATGTACAATATTGCACTTAGAAACACATTATATACAAGACATATTTTACAATGCAGCACATTGGTTGAACACAAAACATACATCTAAAAGACGGCTGGAGAAATGTGACTTTTATGGCACATGCCATTTCAATCAGTCAATGGGTTTTCTGTCATACATTCTACGTCCATATTAAAACATCATTATTTAATATTAAAGTCAACATGAGAACAAAACGGACCCTTTCTACTTCCTTAAAACATGCTACTGCTCTTATTGTGCATGATTTATCAGTGCGTGTTATTCCAAATAAAAAATTTTTTTTGTCTTCATAATATTTATCAAAATAACTTAATGGAAGCTTATTTCCTCCAAAGAATTAAAAAAAAAAATTTATTTGACAATTATGACCTTTTAATTGAGTTTATAGCTCACAATTCGGACTTTTTCACAATTCTGCAAGATATAAACTCATAATTGAGAGATATACATTTCCAGTTCTGAGTAAAAAGTCATAATTACGAGATGCTAACTCGCAATTGCAAGATCTAAACTTGCAATTCTAAGAAGAAAAGTCTGAAATTTGAGATATAAATTTGCAATTGTAAAAAAGTCCAAATTGTGGGATAAAAAGTTGCAATTACATTTTTTCTTACAATTTTCTTACAATTCTGACTTATTTTTTGTGAATTTAAATTTCACATTTTAGACTTTTCTTATCAGAATTGCAAGAAAAAAGTCTGAATTGTGAGACATAAACTCAAAATTGAGATAAAAAGTCGATATTGTAAGATATAAACTCAGAAATGAGATTTAAAAAAATGTAGGAGATAAGTCACAATTACCATTTGTATTTTCTCATTCCGTGGTGGAAATAAGATGCTGTAAAACATGCTTCCCCTCTGCAACGATTTCCCTTTCCGGCTAAAATCACAAACCTTTCTTACTTCTCTAACTCCTCCCCTCTGACCA